GTCTTCGAATGCCCTCCACCTGGGTCTCAGCAGCATTTCCCAGGAGCCCTTTCTGTGCCCAGGTCTGTGCAGTCAAACAAGAGAACAGAACTTAACATGAAAAAATCAAGTCTACAGCGATTTTACGATCATCTGAGTTGCTGCAAGGCATCTACATGTGTGATGAATAAAATCAAGGGTCTTTTTTTTTCCAAATTCTAAATGTGGGCAGCTTGTGACAAAGGCTTCAGCATTGAGCCAACACAATTTACAAGCAAGCCAGGGGCGTGAGCTTTTCACTAAGCTCCTAGCGAAGGCCATCGCTGCTCAGCCAGGCCAGTGACCTTGGGCCTGAAGACCCCAGAAGGCCTTTGTGGAGGGCTTTGAACCAGGGCAGGGGCAGGAGCAAAGTGGAGAGGAACCCCATCATCTTCCAAACCAGGTGGCCCCAAATATATAGCCGCCTCCTTCTGCAGGAGAACACCTAGGGAACCGCAGTACCAGGGTCTCAGGCTGGCACACAGCTCTCTGATCTCGCCATCTCTGACCAACAGGGAAGAAAGCAGTCAGGCAGAAGACAGAGCCTACGTAACTGCAGAACCTGGGTGGCTCACCCACAGCCCATTGCTGGTGCTCCGACCGCCAGTGCCCCTGGCTGCTGGCCCGGTCAGGTGTCTGCTTGAGTCCTAAAGAGACACCAGAGCCTGACAGAGAAGTCAGAGTTGGGTTAATGCTTCCGTCCTCAGGACACAACTGTCACCTTTTCAAGTGCAAACAGACTCGAAGAGAAGAGGAAAGTGCATCTGTGGTGACTCACGCGGCAGACAAAGCATGAACCGCATTGCACGCTGCGGTGTGTGCGAGAGACGAGGAGGGCAACTGGCTAGTATAATGGAGCAGGCTTCCCGGCAGAGGGCTCGACAACCTACTTGACAAGTGGAACTTCCACCCTGTCCTGGGAGCAAGGCGCAGGAGGCCGGCCGCGATGAGCTCACCTTGTTTGAACAATCCCGAAGTTTCCCCAGCTCAGAAATCACAGCTGGGCCGGTCCCCAGCTGGGTGAGTGGGGGCCAGAGGGTGTTTGCGGTGGGCGGAGGCCCTGTCCTTTCTCTGGTGGAGAAAGCCATTTATGACCTCACAGGATGAAAGGAACCAACCCAGGCCCGCTGAGCTGTTATTATAACAATTATCAGGACCTATCACCTCCCTCTGGGAAATGTTCCCTTTCAAGTTGCGGTGCCCTCTGTGTACGCTGGCTCACAGCCGCTGACAACCATTACCGGTGCCCAGGGCAACTTATTAATAATGCTTTCTTCCTTCTTTCTGACGTGGATGGACGTGATCTGTTTAAAGGGCCAGGGCTTTGCCAGGGGCTCATTAAAGCCACTGCAAGCTGCTGGGGAGCCAGCGTGTGTGCTCTCATTGTTACGTCCCAGGATAGTCTCCCCCCCACCCCACTCGCCCAGGTGACTAAACATGCCAGTGTCTCATCTCAGGAAGTGAACGTGGCTTTGATGCTGCTCAGGCTGCTGCTCATGAGCATTGGGATGAGGAAGGAGAAGAACCCAGGTTTGTTTTCCCAATCCCCTCCCCCACCCCACTGGGTGCCTCACCCCTACCACACCCCAGTGCAGAAGCCTCCAGATTTGGGGTTGGGGCTCCAGGGCATGCACGGGCCCTAGTCCCTTCTAGAAGTTGACTCAAGACCAAGGTCTCCTATCAGGGTCTCTTTTTTCTGGACCCAGGCTCTTGGGAGAAGGAGGCCTTCACCCCACCACCCAGCACCCCCGTAACTGTTCCCGCTGCCATGGACCAGCAACAGAAAAACAGTGACGCTGGCTTCTCGAGGTAATAATGTCAAACCTGCAGCCTCCTCCCTTCCAACAGGCAAGTGGCGGAGACAAAGCAGGACCCAGCGTTCCCAGTGAGAGGCGCCAGAGGACGGGCGACTCCTGTGGAATTGCTCAGGAGGCTGTGCGCTTCACTTAAAAACGTTTTTTGAAAGGGGACACTTTTTAGGAATGCCCTTTGTAAAAGCCAAATTGGATTGCGCTCTTAGGATTCTGTCGTTAAGCCTCACGCAAGCACCGAGATAGGGATGAACATCACTCCCATTTTAAAGATGAGAAAAGCAAGCCCCAGAGAGTCATGTGGTCACGTATGCGGCTAGAAAGTGGGGGAGCTGCGCTCTAACGCAGCAGGCCCCTGGCCGGCCGCTTCCTGCGCCTCGGCACTGTGCCTGCCTTCAAACTCTCATGTCCAAAGAACACTTGCAAGGACCATGTTCCCATCTCAGCTCCCTTCCCCCAGGGAAGCTGACTCTGGACTGAGTCTCCCTCATGTCCGCAAGCGCTCTGTGCAGCCCGCAGGTTCCCAGTCCACTGGACGTGAACTCTGGAGGGCGAGCAGGGCCGCTTCTTCTCCTGCAGAGGCTGCTCCTGTCTCAGGTCTAGCGGTGGAGGTTCCGTGTGGGTCCAGGACAGGGCTAAGGGCCAGAGGAGGAAGGGAGGGAGACAGCAGAAACAGGACTATGAGGCATAGGGAGGAAGAGATGGGGAGGGGGGTAGTGTGCAGAGCAGGGGTGGGAGGTATTCACAGCCAGGTAGACACCTATGGGAATAGGAAGGCTGGAAGGAGGAGGAGGAGGAAGAGAGGGAAGGAAAGGCAAGGGAAAGGACAGTGGCTGCGGAGGGCCATAGGATCCCAGGAAGGGACAGTGCTCTGCCAGGGGCAGGGGTGGGGCTGGTATTCTGTGCCCTGCAGCTGCCAGGGTGTCCTTGGGAACAGCACCCATGGCAGGAGTGCCCCTGAGTGTGGCCTGGGCAAAGCAAGTCAGACGAGGGGTGAGGAGAGGAGAGGTGGGGAGACAGCCCTCACAGGAAGCCAGGGCACAGGAGAAGGAAGCAAGAGCGCAGAAGGGACCAGTAGGGCAGGCCCGGCAGGCCGGGTGAGGAGAGGAGAGGTGGGGAGACAGCCCTCACAGAAGCCAGAGCACAGAAGGAGGCAAGGGCGCAGAAGGGACCAGTAGGGCAGGCCTGGCAGGCTGGGGGCAGACTCCCTCTCTGGCTGGCCCAGTGGCTCCTGTGGCCCCTCGCACCACCTTCGTGAACCCTGCCTCCAGGCTCAGGCTTCCCCGTGGCCAGCCTGGAGGCCCTGGCAGACACAGCTCCCCCTGCCTTCACAGCCCAGGAGAAAGGGAGGGGGCTTCCAGTGCCAAGAAACCCGAGGGCAAAGCCCTCGGTGGCAGTGCCTCCCCTAGTCCCACCAGCCTCACTTCCCATCTCAGATTCTTCTACCCATTCTACAGATGAGGAGACCGAGGTTCCAAGAGGTACGTCTTCCTGCCTGTCAGTGGCCAAGTGCTTAGTACAGGGCCTGGGCACACAGCCAGGACTCAGTCAATGTCACGTCTCTGTCTTCCTTGGAGCCCTCCTAGGGTGTGCCGTCTCTACATTTCCCTGGCTCTGGCCCTAGCCCGGCCATAGCTCTTGCTCCAGGGGGATTGGCACCCAGGAAAACCCATCTGGGCACCAGCCAGAGAGGTAGAAGGACAGATGGTAGACTCCTGCTGCCCTACACATATTCTGCCTATGGGGTCTCAGGCTTCAGGGATGCCAGGTGATATAGGCCATAGGGGAGAAAGGAGGGTAGACACTCTTTGGCACTGGCCCCAAAAGGCACATATCACAAGACCCTTTGGGACTCGGGTTCCTCCTGGGGCCAGGCCAGGACCTAGAAAATCACAGGGGAAAATCACGAAGCAGTGGAGGAAGGCTGGGGTCCTGGAGACCCACCCTCATCAAGGAACAAGGTGGTCCAGTCCCATTCCTCCCTGATGGAGACAGGCAAAGGTGGCACGTAGACCCCAGCAAGCCAGGAGTAGGGAGAGCCTGGCTCAGGGCCCTGTTCACCTGTCTCGTGGGAAGGAAGCCGTGATGTGTTGGAAAGGGCACGGGCTGAGGGTGCAGACCCTCTTCCTGGCCATGTGAACTTGGGTAAGTTACCTAACTTCTCCAAGTCTCCGTATCATGCTCTGCAAAATGGAGATGCTGATATGTTCCTGGAGGGGTTAAAGAGGGAACCACAGTGCCAGCACCTGGCAGCTGCGAGTACTTGAGAAAGTCTGGTTCCTTCCCTTCCCTGAAGGGGGACCCTGGGAACCTCCCTTCTCCCAGTTAATGGTGGGCGTGTCAATCAATGATGCCCTGGAGAGCCTGTATTGAGGGCTGTCCCACATGAAAATGCACGGTTAGGCAACCAGGCACCCAGTCTTAGGCGGGCTGTAAGGCTGGCCTCAGCCATGGACAGAAAGCCCGTGGTGCTGTCCAGGCATAAGGACCGGGACCATCCAGGACATCAGAAGCAGCAAAGTGTGGGCTGCAGGCAAAGGACAATGAGGCCTGTCTTGTTTCCCACTGCCCCACAGCGCCTAACAAAGCGCCAGGGCTAAGGAGGTCAGCCCAGAGAGAGCCCCGAGCTGGGTGGATGAGGCTGAGTTTGAGCACAGGCCTCCCTTGAAAAGCACATTGTGAAATGCCAACATAATTATGAAAATGCAAACACAAGAACGTTTGCTTATGGGACCTAATAGTTTTTAATGAAGGTAATCAGCCTCGTTAAATCAAATTATTAGCTTTGACAATAGATGTGTAAACAGGAAATTAATGAATTTGTTGGTTGCTCCTGCCTGCTAAGAAGACATTACAGTAGTCACCGTCTAGCCTGGATACACACATCTGGACTCCTCTCTCCTGCTTGAGCAATGCTCCCTGTACACACACACACACACACACACACACACAAACAAACACACACACACGAAAATGTCTCTCTCCCATCAGCTCAGAGCATCCTGAGAGACCTCGTTCTTCTCCCTCCTTTGTTTCTTAGGCTTTTGTTAGTCTCCTGCTCCAACGTACCTGGTTGCTGCCCAGGAGACAGTCCTTGGGGAATACAGGATTGAGGGGAGAGATGCAGGAAGAGGAAGAAGACATCGGGCTCTGTGTCCCAGCATACTGGCATACATGATCTCATTTAATGTCACAGGACTCTTCATACTATTATCCCATTTTACAGGTTAGGAAACTGAGGCATGGTGAAATGGTGGGTTGGTGGTGATGGTTCACACAGCTGGTGGTAGAGGATAAGCCAGGCTGGGCAACAGGTTCTGTTGATGACATTGTCCCTCATCTTCTCTTACCATAGGAGGGACTTGGGGCCAGGAAGAGGCCATCTCCAGCTGGAAGGAGCAGAGAGAAAATCTCAAATGAGCAGGTGGGAACTCATTGATACAGGAGAGGGTATTGAAAGGCCATTCCAGAATAGGGGAGCCCAGACCCCAGGGCTCACTGGTGGGGTTCTCTGTGAGCCAGATGATGGAAATGGGGCCTCCCAGCTGGAGACACCCTGACAGCAATGATATCCCCAAAGCTTCTACTTAGGAACATGTCATAGGAGAAATCGTGGGACTAGTTCAAGTGGAGGTACAGAGAGGACCCCTTCACACACACACACACACACACACACACACACACACACACACCAGTGTCAGCCAGGCAGGAGTCTCGCACAGCGCTGGGGGTAGGGGTGCTGGACCTATGGTTCTATGAATAATGCCGTGAGCTCAGGCAGGCACTGAGCTGGGGGCCAGGTGGGGGCTGAGGCAAACAACAGGCAGACACTCCCAAGAGACAGCTCACCCAAAGCACCGTGCGAGATACCATCAGGCAGTTACACCGCAAACAAGCCGCTCGTTGGGGCAACAGCGGAAGACGCTGCCATCTCTCACCTGAGGCTGGCAGATGGGAACATTAGTCAGACAGATGGAGGGAGGGCGAGTGCTGAAACCACCTGAGGCCCTGGCCAGGTTCTCCCTGTAAACAGGCCAGTCTGCCAGACCGGCTTGTTCCTTCTCTGGAGCTGGGGAGAGACATAGGCCGAGGCCCCGGGCCCTGCCTTAGGCAGATGGAGCAGACACAACCCCTGCCGTCTGACCCTAGGCGAGTGGCAAAGACAACCCCCACCATGCAGCAGCCTTGTGAAACCTGGTCTTATTTGGGGATCCACATTTCCCACACTCTCACTCTTAGAGCCTGCAATTAATTAGAAGCAAAATATTCTCCATTAGGATGCCCCAGATTGACAGCCATTGCTAAGAGACCAAAAGCCAAGAGGTGAGCTTGAGGTGGGGGGTGATAGAATAGAAGGGTACACAGGGGTTTCTAGCCCACTGCCCACTGCCCCAAGGAAAGGAGAGTGGAGGTACTGCATCCCTGGTCTTGCCGCTCCAGTGGATGGAGGTGACCTGGACTCTCTGTGTCCACATCTCCTCAATGGAGTCTTCATGAGGAAGAGAGTCTGTCTCCAGAGAACTAGGCTGTGACCTCAGGGTGCCTAGCCAGGTGTGGTGGAGTGATTTGGTAACTCCAGAATCCCTTCCCAGAAGGAACAGGTCTCTTCTCAAGCTGCACCTTGTGATTTAGAACCAGGAAACTGAAGGGAGCCTGCCATTGGACCCAGGCCTAGAACAGGGGTTGCCATTAGGGCAGAAGAGTCAGACCCAAGGAAAGAAGGAGGAGGCTTCATTTCTAGCCCCTGGCCCCAGCCATAGACAGTTCCACCCTTTCCAGAACTCTCTTCACATACTGTACATTCCTCTAGTTGCACAGCATGTAGTCATTAAACATGCACCTCCTCGCACTAGACAATGAGCTGCTTAAATGCAGGGACAGTGTGCCTGACTCAGAATGGGTGCCCAGCATTTGCTGTGGTGATGGATAAATGACTAGACAAATAAGCGCGTGGATGGATGGGGTGGTGGTGTGGATAGATGGATGGATGGACAGTTGGATGGTTGACATATGAATGGTTAGATGAAGACTGCTCCCACATCCACCAGCACCTCTAGTGGCCATTGTATGTTTGCCTTGTTCTTGGTTGGAATTGTACCCGCCCTTCATTCTAGTTCCATGCAACTGATTTAAATCTCCACACATGTGTCCTCACTCTACAAATTTCCCTTCTCAGAAGTGAGTTAGAGGCCAAGGCCTTTTCTCCCCACCCTTCTAGAGAACTTCCACAGCCCTGTTGGCACATGGATGAGGAAGGAGAAGGGGCAGAGTCAGAACTGGTTAAAAAATGGGAAGGCTTCCGAGGAAAAGTGAGGCAGAGCCCCACGTGTCCCCATTCAATCCCCACCTGGTCCCCAGACAGGAAGCGAAGGAAGGTAACCCAAGGGAGGGGTGGTTCTGGTACTCCCACCCCAACACCTCCAACTATGAGGCGGAACCCCCAGTAATGGGTGGAATCATGAACGAGAGCCCTCTTTACCTTGTAACTAACCCACTTACATAGCATTCACCGTGTGCCTGGCACCAGTCCAAGTGCTTTACATCTATTAACTCATTTAAACTCCTGTGAGTTAAGAATTCTTATTATCTTTATTTTAGAAATGAAGAAACTAAGACACAAAGAGGTTACATAACTTGTTCAAAGTGATTCTCAGAAGTGAGTTAGAGGCCAAGGCCTTTTCTCCCCACCCTTCTAGAGAACTTCCACAGCCCTGTTGGCACATGGATGAGGAAGGAGAAGGGGCAGAGTCAGAACTGGTTAAAAAATGGGAAGGCTTCCGAGGAAAAGTGAGGCAGAGCCCCACGTGTCCCCATTCAATCCCCACCTGGTCCCCAGACAGGAAGCGAAGGAAGGTAACCCAAGGTAGGGGTGGTTCTGGTACTCCCACCCCCAACACCTCCAACCATGAGGCGGAACCCCCAGTAATGGGTGGAATCATGAACGAGAGCCATCTTTACCTTATAACTAACCCACTTACATAGCATTCACTGTGTGCCTGGCACCAGTCCAAGTGCTTTACATCTATTAACTCATTTAAACTCCTGTGAGTTAAGAATTCTTATTATCTTTATTTTAGAAATGAAGAAACTAAGACACAAAGAGGTTACATAACTTGTTCAAAGTGAATAGCTAATAAGTGGTAGAGCCACAAGTTGGGCTCAGAAATCCTGATCCTGAGTCTTTGCTCTTAACCACTAGGTCATCCTGCCAAACGCAGCTCTGCCCAGAATTCAAACTCCAACCCAACCCTAATGTCACCCTCTTCAATATAACCCTAACTCCATCCCCAACTCTTTGTACCTTGACCCCACCAGTAATAGAATCCTATACAGAGAAATTCCATTGCCCCAAAATATAAGGGATAAAGAAACAAAGTAAATGATAACAGAAGGGGACAAATCCAGAATGTGGGACATTTCATGGGCAATTAACCTGGTTTCTGCAACAAATCAATGGCATGAAAATAATTAAAAGGAAAAGGAGAGATGCTTTAGATTCAGAAACTTAAGAATTATAACAAAAAAAAAATGTGAACTGTGGCTCTTGTTTGGATTCTATCCAGTTTGAATAACCATAAAAAGATATTTTTGAGACAGTTGAGGTAGTTTGATAATGGGCTGAGTGTTAGATGACACCAAGAAATTAGTGTTAATTTCCTTAAGTATGATAATGGGACTGTGGTCCCATAAGAAAATGTTCGTTATATTGAAGTGCAGTCAATTTTTTTTGAAAGTTACGTTATATAAAGTCACCAAAACACTGAATTATCTGAACCACTGTTCCCAGGGGAAATACAAGGTTAGGTTCCTATGAGCTACTGGTCTCATTTTCATCAATTGACCAATACATAACCTTGTTTTTATGTGTTACTGTTTAAAGACACCTTCAGCAACAACAACACACACACAAATGTGGCACTAAGTAGACCTTGTACAGGATGCTTGTTATGGTATGAGAGCTGAAACAAAAAGGCAGAACCAAGAGAGCAGATCTTAGATGTTCTCCCACAAAAATAAATGATAACTATGTGACATGATAAAGTTGTTAGCTAATATCACAGTGGTAATCATTTTGCAATATATAAATGTATCACCGACACCTGGTACACCTTAAACTTACACAATGGTATATGTCAATTATACCTCAATAAAGCTGGGACAAAACAAAAAGGCAGAACATTGGCTTGCTTGACCTCAGCTGAGAACCTGCATATCGGGTGACTCAAATTTTTCACCGCTCTGTGCGTGTCCATGAATGTCCACAAAAGCTCCACAAGTGTTGATTTTGGCATTATTGATATATTTCAGCAGCAGGAGAATTGGCAAACACAAAATCTGTGAATAATGAGGATCGATGTTTTAAGAATGAAATGGTATAAGGTCTAAGATTTTCTTTACATTATTTGGGGGGTCGGCAGCAGGGAGGATGAGGAAAGGATAGCTGAAGCAAATGTGGGGAAATATTGGTAACTGTTGACTGGAAGATGGGGTTTGGGATATGGGGTTTATTCATCCACGTGCTCCAAGAAACGGACACCATGATGGGATTGAAGGTTTTATTGTATTAGAGGACATGGCTATCACAAAGGAATTAGGGAAGAAGCCAGAAAGGCTGGGAGAGTATCATTCTAAATGCAAGTAAAGGAGGGAAGAAGGTAGGGTATGGGCAGTGCATCTGAGACGGCAGTGCTGTCTTGGAGTCTAAGGACAGTGTGCCCACGTACGGTGGTCCCTCAGGGAAAGTCACCAGCCAGGCCTGCCTTAGCATCGCTGCCAGACTTGCAGGGGCCTACCCTGGGAGGTACCGCCTCAGCACCATCAGAGCTCGGCAACTGGGCCCCAGGTCCCTCAGGTTCCCAGAAGTAGAAGGGCTGCAAACCATGCTCTCTTGGCCACCACATTAACAGTCTATTAAACTGTTCTCTCTACTCTTGTGTGTGTTTGAATTTTTTCTCAATGAATATCAAAAGAAAAGTAAGAATGAAGTGAGTGGAAAGTTCCAGGGAGGAAGAAAGTACAACCGAGTTCCCTTATGCAGTAGTGTTTGGAGTAAACCCAGCAAGCGACCCTCTTCATTGTAATACTGCCTGTTTGTATCATAGTGATGTACGCTTTCCAAACCACTTCTATTCCTTCCCATTGAACCCTCACACCTACTTCGAGAGACGGCAAAGGCAGGTACTTGGGTGTCATTGTACCCACTGGACAGGTGAGTAAATCTCTCTGAGTATCCAAACCTCGCTTCGGTTAAGACAGTTGCCCAGAGTCACCCAGCTGAGTGGGAGCTGTAGGAGAAGGAAGGTCCAGTGACCTTCCCCGGCCTCTCCGTGGCCCACCCTCCGGGCGTTAAGATGCAGGCTAGGAGCTGAGTCCCTCTGTGCCCACATGGAGCTGCTCACACTGCTGCGCCCAATCTCCCTGAACACCCAATTAAGCATCTTATAAATGCTTAATTTATAGGGATGATGCATAGGATTCAGAGGTCAGCCCAGGGAGAGGATTAAAGCTCTGTCGGAAGCCAAGGTCAAGGGTTAGCTCAAGGCTAGAACAGGGTCACTCTGAGGTCAGCTTTAAGGGACTGGCCTGTGATTAGAGGTTACACTCCCTCAGCACAGTGCTGGCTGCTGTCGGGTCACCCCCTACCCGGCCTGGCCCACAGCCTTCTAACTCTAGACCTGTGGATAGGAGGGCTGACCGCACCCACAGCAGAGATGCTCCGCATTTGTCTCTCAGGCCCATTTGCATATGGCACACCTCAGGCTCACCCGGGACAGTTTCGCAGAACATGTCGCAAGCCACCTGCCTGCGTTTAAGCCCATTGACAGCAAGAACAGCTTTGGGACAAGATCTGGCCCTTCCCCCGCCCATTGCTACAGACTTAATTACAGAGCCCAGCCACAGCAAGTGGCCACCTCCCGCCCCCACGTGGGCACAGGAGGTGGCAGGTTTGTACTCCACTAGGAAGGTATCGGGGAGAGAGATCAAGGAGCCTTTCCCAATAACATGATCAGCCTCAGTAGAAACTGTGACCACGGCGGTGACGTTTTCTCAGGCTGCCTCCATCCCTGTCTGTGTTCCCTTCCGCGTCTCGGCAATATTGTCTCCATCCGCCATACCGCCTCTCCTTTCATTTACCCTGAAGGGAAGGTCCACATGCCCTGCCACCCTTGGAATGGATCCTGAGGAGACAGGGTTTACGTCCAGGAGAGGACAATCTGCTGGTGGGATCGCTGGTCCTGGGGCCAGCAAATGTGGAGACAGTTATTGGCCACAGGGCCTCCCTGGTGTCCAGTAGAAGCAAGGCCCCGCCAAACTATTGCAGGAGCAATGTCTTTTTCTTCTTTGGTGGTTTGGCCCCTAGCCAAGTCTTCTGAGTGCCCCAATGCCCCACCCTCACAACCCCCGGAGCTGAGAGACCGCAGGTGCTTAGGGCAGTGCTGACTGGGTGGGCAGGATTGTGCTTCCTGTGCCAGCTCATGCCCATGCCCACCACC